AGTGAGGCTACAAGGAGGAAAGGTCATAAAGGTGCAGGACTTCAAGTAACTGGGGTCCACTGTCCAAGAAAATGGGGAGTGTGGTAAAAAGGTGAAAAAGAGAGTCCAGGCAGGATGGAGTGAATGGCGAAAAGTTTCAGGAGTGATTTGTGACAGAAGGGTGTCAGTAAAGATCAAAGGAAAAGTTTACAAGACAGTTGTGAGACCAGCTATGTTGTGTGGTCTGGAGACAGGGATTTTTAAAATTGTTTGCGTGAACTTGAATTAAAGTTTTTTCATGGCAGTTGTTTTAAGATGACAACAATCTGTTAGCAGCCCAGCTTTGCCTTTTAGGAAAAGGCAGGTGTGTTTTCAGAGGTTTGTTTGTGATGTGAGTTCACAGATGTACAAGTGTAATGGACTGTACTTATATAGCGTCTTTCTATCTACTCAAGATACTCAAAGCGCTTTACACTACAATCTGTGTCCTCATTTACCCATTCATACAGCACTCTACTAGATCTCTACAAAGCTAATTGAACAAATCATTCTAAAGAGACTAATCAGAGCTTTATCACATTCATACACTGATGGTACACACATCAGAGGCAATGAGGGGTTCAGTGTCTTGCCCATGGACACTTTGGCATGTGACTGCTGGTGGATTCGAACCCCCAACTCTTGCATTGGAGGACGACTGCTCTAACCACTCAGCCACAGCCGCCCCACAGTGTGTGTGTGTGTGTGTCCTTGTTTATGCTACTTTGTGAGGCCCATTTTTCCAACTTATACTGCATTGTGAGGACCAACTGCTCCTTATGGGGCCCAAAGCCCGGGCCCCATAAGAAGAAGTCCCGTTGGTGGGTTAGGGGCTAGGTTTAGGACTAAGGTGTGAATTGAGGATGTGTTAGGTTTAGGGTTAGGTATGTACTGGTAATGGTTAGGTTATGGATAAAGGTCATGGTTAGGCTATAGAAATGAATGAAAAATGAATGGAAGTCAATGCAAAGGCCCCATAAAGATAGCAAAACAAACCTGTGTGTGTGTGTGTGTGTGTGTGTGGGAGCAGCTGGTGCTTGGATGTGAGGACAAGCTTGAATCTTCAAGATGAGATGAAAAACATTGAGACAGCTGAAAGTGCTCTTGGATGTTCTGGGTAATTTTGATACAGGGTGTCTTGCTTGTGTGTATTTTTGCTGCCTCTGACAAAATAAATTTAGTTGGAACATAACAGTGGTCTCTCTATCCCATTTATCCTTGATGTGAAGTTAGTTACCAGCTGATGAGCCAAATAAAAGTTTGAATGCTAACCAAAACTCTCTAATACGATTCAGAGACACCACAAGATAACACATATTCTTTGGTCTTTCCTTCAAACAAGCTGTTAGCTTGTCAGTCCAAGTATTAACTTTTGTTTCTCCAAACTGAGGTTATTCCACAACAGGTAAGATAATGATTGTTGTAACCTTTTCATATAACCCAACTTGTGAACATCTGAACTATCTCTTTAACAAAAACAGCTCTTTTGCTTGTTCTCTCTGCTGCTCTTATTATATTTTGTTAATCCACAACAAACATTAATTTTATTGTTGTGTCTGCTTACAATATAGTAAAAAAGGGGAAACAGTTGGCTTTGTCAGATTTTATTGCAGTAATCAGCTTTTTTTTTGGTTTTTGTCCATCGCTTTTTAAAGTGCTGCTTCACGCAAAAAGTAAAAGAAGAAAAGGTGCAATTCAGATTTTAAATGGCTTCACATGCATCAAATGGAAGACAGCAAGAAGAGACATCAAACTAAGACTTTAAGCAATTTTTTTTTCTTGCTCAAAAACTGAAAACATAAAAGCTTTTTTTTTTTTTTTTTACTGACACTTCATTTCTCTGTGTAAAAGAACATTTACAACCATGAGAGCTGGACACCTGTAGAAATGGGAGTTTGTGTCTGTTTCCTCCATGAAAGAAGCTCTGAACTTCCTCTCAGAACCACTGTTGGGTTTCTGGAGCGAGTCGGTGTTACTTTTAGCACAAGTCAGCAAAACACAAAAAACAAATGTGATGAAACCTGCTGAAAGGGCCGTCAGGTGCACCATGTTAACCCACATAGAGCTTTTAGTTTGACTAATGTGGGGAGGAAACTGCATTTCTCTTACCTGGGAGGAGAAAACCAGAAACATACAGATTTGTGAGATCAGAACAGAAAAAGACAGATTCTTTCTGCAACAAGAAGATTAAAAATCAACAAAAACTGCCACACAGTCATGATATAGAACCAGGTTTATCTTTAAAGTGCCTCTGCTGTGTTGAAGTTTCCATGTAGTAGCTAGGAGAGGAAAGGAGCAGTGTGACGTGCAGACAGGGTCAGACAGGTCACGACCCGAAGCTGCCGTCAGCACTTCAGCACAAACATGGCACCAGTTCAGACATGTTGACAGTGGATCATTTCAGATTACTTTAATCGTTGCTGCCTACTTTAGTTTTCAAGTGCTTGATTTTTTTTTTCAGTGTTTCTGAATAAAACTTGTTGGACCCACATTAAACTAAATGACAGAGTTTAGTTTCCTATTTAATATCAGAGCATGTTGTGGTTGTGATTGGGAGGTTTTTGAGGCAGATTTGTCTCACGCTGCTGTTCTCACATAATCTCCAGTTGTAAAAGTTTGCAAGCGCCAACTCTGAAATAGCATCTTACAAAGTCAGTGAAGCATATTAATGTTGTGTGCACATGCACCAGTGAGTACAAACACTGACTTAATGACAACACCAGCAAACACAACAGTAGACTGATGGGTAGAGTTTTCTGTTTTGTTCTGACGTTAAATTAAACTTGCATGGCTTTTTTTTTTTTTTTTTTGGCTACCTGCCTCTATTTTTCCACACATTTGTTTAATATATTAAAAGTACTCAATTGAAAAGTATGAAATCAATCATAAAAAAAAGTTTTCCTGAACTACATCAAATGGTGCAGTTCACACGAGTTTAATGTTGTAGTTTCCAGATATACTGCATGCATTTTAGAAATGCAGGTCCATACACCGTGTAAACAAAGCACCTGGCTGAATCCGATAAAAACACTTTAAGACAACCGTCAAAAATAAATCTTGGGCTTCACGCATACACTTGGGGCAGTGGAGCACCAAAAAGGCAGAGCTCAATGTTCAAACACACATGGTGGTGACTCGGTAGAACTGTTGTCTCTCAGCAAGAAGGTTGCCGGATCAAATCCCGGCTGAGGCCTTTCTGGGTGGAGTTTGCATGTTCTCTCCGTGCATGCGTGGGTTTTCTCCGGGCACTCCAGTTTTCTCCCACAAACCAAACATATGCATGTTAGGCTGATTGATAACTCTAAATTGTCTCTAGGTGTGAGTGAGAGAGTGAATGGTTGTTTGTCTCATTTGTCTCTATGTGTCCCTGTGATGGACTGGAGACCTGTCCAGGGTGTCCCCCGCCTCTCGCACAGTGACTGCTGGACATGGGCACTAGTGACCCCAGTGACCCGAAAAGGAAGATGTGGGTAAAGATGATGGATGGATGGATGGATGGATAGATGGATGATGGATGGATGGATGGATGCAAAGCTTCTGCTGAACTGATAACTACTGTTCGTCCTGTTTTCAGTCACTTCAGCTGTTTCTATAAATACACACGTGGTCGTTGGCACCCAGTCACAATTTTAGCTCATAATTTCGTAATTAATGGACATGCTAACCATTGACATTTTATTTTATTTTTTTTTACAGATACTGTTTTTATTTACTTATTTATTTATTTTGTCCAGTCTTCTTGACTTTGCAATGAGGCTCTTTAAAAATTCCACACATCATCTACCACTCAGTTATAACATCCATTTCTGTATTGTAATAGTTGAGTAGTTGGAACTAACAAAACAAACAAAAAAAAAAACTTTCTGTACATTTTCCTTATCTTTATGTTCTTTATGTTAAGATTTTTTCCAGATTGATTATTTTTACATGAAACTGTCACTTGTAAACAACAAAAGGAGAATCAATGTGAGGATCTTTTGCTGGCCGTTTCTTTCAGTTTTGTGTCTTGTTTGCTTGTTTTCCTTGTCTCAACGAGAAAGTAAAAATTGTATTCTTTTCCAAATCTAAGGTATATTGTGAACCAAGTGATAAGCTTGTATTAAAGTATTTCAGGGTAGAAGTTTCAGTGCTGCTGGACATTGTCAGAGTTATTCTTTTGGCAGTCTTTTCAACTTCTCAAATGGCTACTGTCTAATATTTGTGAATATTTTATGAATTTAGGGTACATTACAGCTACCCAGACAGCAACAAGATAAGGTAATTAGTTCCTTTCAGAAATATATTTATTTTTATGTAATTTGCAGCAATGCTTAAAAAAATCACTTAATAAACTTTTAATTTGTTTAGCTGTTCTCATTTTCTAGACTTATCCTATTAAGAAACTAATTTGATTAAATATTTTCATTTGGTTTGGCAAAAATCTGAGAACTAATTAGCTTTACATTGCAAAACAAAATTAAGGTAACTTTTTTTTTCAGGTTTTCCTCACTGATCCTCACCTTTTCAAACTAAAATCCTAAACTAAAATTTGAGCCCCCAACTAGTTAGACTTAATTTCTCTCAACCAGCTGGCCGGACATACACAGCATTTTTAAATCAGATTTGCTTATTTGGTAGCGGAAATCATTCTTTTAAACAAATCTATTAAGAACAGTATGAAAACAGCTGTTAATAATAGACAATAAAAATGTGTTATTGTTTCTGAGAGACAAATATACTTATTATTGACGAAAACTGTATTTTTTTATTTTTTGCTGACAAACGACACATTTTGAGAAGTTGAGCAAAAATAACCAACAGAAGTGTTGTTTAATCAAAGTTCATTTATGTTTTTCATAAAGCCTGAAAAGAAACCAAACATACAGCATCCACGCTCAGATGTGTCCTACTGGCTGGATGAAATGGTAGATAGGAGTGGTTTTCTCAAATTCAGCATCAAGTCCATTTTTATGTGTGTGAGACTGAATACCTAAAACTGCCTTATTGTGTTCACCATAGTTCTCTGCACTTCAAGTAGTGTAGTTACAAAACTCGTTTATGTGTCTTTAAATGTAGGAAGATTCCAGCGGAAATTCTACAAGCTTGCTTTTTTATATAATGTCATCAATGGCGAACTTCAATCTTCTTCACAAGTTGCATATTTGAGGATATATATATAGGAAGCGTTGATCAAATCTTTTACGTTTTGCTTTCAGATTTTGCACATACAACCATGTTGTTTTCATGCACTGTAAAGAATTAGGATCTCTGCATTAAAACAGAACGGTTTGCATCTGATAAAGCTCAACAACCATTACAGGGAGGGAGAAGGGCTTTTCCAGTGCAAATGGATCACTGATCTTCCATCTGCAGCAGAAACGTTCTCTTTGGCGCTCTCATTTCAGCCGAGTGCCGTTCATAGGGCTCTGCATCCACAAAACTCCAACTCATTAGATAAAAGTTAAAGCGATGATTCTCTTCGAGAAGACGGTTGATTACGATCAGTTTCTGTCAGCTCAGACAAACACATTTTATCCTGCTCTTTCGCTTCACCTTCGTCTACCTCCTCATCCCTACTGATGAAGGCCAGCTCGTTCTCGTAGCAGAAGGAGTTGGCGCCAGAAGTTAGGAATTTTCTCTCCTCCATGTCCTTGGCGCTGCACCTGGGCGTGGATGGCACTTCAAAGGTTTTATGGAAGTAGGCGTAATCTATCCGGTACTGGCTCCTCTCCTCGAAGATGATGGGCTCGAAGCGGTGACCCCACAGGATTTCGGAGGGTAGGTAGGAGCTGCGTGCTTGTGTCGTCATGGCCGTGGCCTCCACCAACCCTTCGAGTATGATCACTATCTCAAAGTCAGACGTTTCGAGGTCTTGCTTACTGATGCCAAACAGTGGGCTTTCTTCATCGATCTCATGTATGATGGTGAGAGGTGCAACCAAAAACAGACGGTCTGTGCCTTTGTCATATCCAACGTTCATGTCAATCTGATCCAAGGGGATGTACTCACCCTCCTCTGTGTAGCGAGGCTTAACCAGCTGGGCTCGTACATGAGCCTCCACAATGTGGCTCTTCCTCAGATTAGCAACCCTGAACATGAGGCACAGTTTTCCATCTCGCATTGCGATTACTGCGTTGTGGCTAAACAGTAGCGTCTCTGCACGCTTCTTAGGTCTTGCCATCTTGGCCATGATGGCACCAATCATAAAAGCATCAATGATGCAGCCCATGATGGACTGAAAGACAACCATGAAGACAGCTGCAGGGCATTCTTCGGTCACACAGCGGGCTCCGTACCCAATGGTCGTCTGGGTCTCAATGGAGAACAAAAAGGCTGCAACAAAGGTGTTGACCTTTGTGACACAAGGAACAAAACTCTCATCTATTCTGTCCATGTCACCATGCAGGAGACCAATGATCCAGAACGCTAGGCCGAATGTCAGCCAGGACACCACGAATGCCAGGCTGAACAGCAGGAACATGTATCGCCAGCGGATGTCTACACAAGTTGTAAAAATATCCGATATGTACCTTTGGGACTTATCATCCATGTTCGAGAAGTGGACGTTGCACTGGCCGGTCTTGTTGACGAACCGGCTGTGGCATTTGCGCCTTGTATGGATCTTGCCGTTGCCAAAGCTGCCCACAGCCGGCATGGTACTCAGTCTGAGTCCTTCTTCTTCACAAGACAGGAAGCTGTGGTGGTGAGCTCTTCCCACACTCATGCCTCAGTGAAACACAGCCAGGGGGGTACTACCAGTCCCGCTCATCAATCACTGAGCAGGCTCACAGAGGTGCACAGCTCAGTCCAGCACAAGCTAGAATCAGTTGTCAGTTCCTGCAGGGGGAAGAAAAAAAACAGGAAAGAAGTGTTTTCTCCAAGAGCAGGAATAAACAAAAGAAACAAGACAGATCTGTTAAGATCAAAGTTAGAGAGTATTGTTTGACCTTCAAGAATGAGTTATATTTTTCAAAGTGTCTTTAGAAAAGTTATGAACAATTATTAATTTTAAAGTTTTTGAATGACCTCAGTTGACTATTTTTCTGACTGGACTGAGGAGCTAAAGTTAGCATCTCTCTAGACTTGGAGACTAGTTACGACTAAAAACTCCAAGAAAGTCAGTGAACTTGCAAAAGCTTCTGAATCTCACTTAATTCTGAATGTTTGCCATCAAGCATCCAAGATGTGCGTCCATGTTTTACCCAACTTATTGTTGAAAATCTTGCTTTTTTATGCACATCAGCAAAACTAGACTTGTGCACATCATTGTGTTGCCCACCTCCATCTACATTGTACCGGTTCGGCCTGGTTCAAATCCACAGACATCCCCATGTTTATGATTTAATCTACCACAATCCACTTTGTCAATGAAGATAGCCATGACCAGTTTTTAAATAATTATTATCAGTTTAGTTTTAGACCTGGACAATCAGGGCTATAAACTTAAATGTTTTTGTCTCAAGACGTTCCCATGAAGGCACGAAAATACACCTCTAGAATTTAAGGGAACTAAATCGAATCAATTTGAGAAACCTGCAACAATCCTGAGACTTTTCTTTTTTTAAAAAAAGAAAACCACTGTAACATTTTTGAGATTTGAGTTTTGTTAAAGTGACACGGTGGCTCAGTTGGTAGAGCTGCTGCCGCTCAGTGAGAAGGTTGCCGGATCGAATGCCAGCCGGGGGCCTTTCTGGGTGGAGTTTGCATGTTCTCTCCGTGCATGTGTGGGTTTTCTCCAGGTACTCCTGTTTCCTCCCTCAGACTAAAAACATGCATGTTAGGCTGATTGATAACTCTAAATTGTCCCTAGGTGTGAGTGAGAGAGTGAATGGCTGTTTGTCTCTGTGTGTCCCTGTGATGGACTGGAGACCTGTCCAGGGTGTCCCCTGCCTCTCGCAAAGTGACTGCTGTATATGAGCACCAGTGACCCCCACGACCCAAAAAAGGAAGAAGCGGGTAAAGATAATGGATGGATGGAGTTTTGTTAAGACAGCAGCAATCCACTTTTGTCTTGCTCAGACTAGCCATTAGCTCATCAATCTAGTAAAACTACATTCACTTTCTCCAAACTGATGTCAAAGAGCTATCTACAACAGGTAAGATATTTACTGGTTGTGACCTATCGATATAACCTTTTTTCAAAAGGTTAGAGCTGCTGACATTGTTGGTTCTTTTTTTATTTGCACATTTATTTAATCCTCTCTTTATTGTTTTAAAGTATTTGCTTCTGATCAAAGAAGAATATTGTGTTTCAGTCAAACCATGGCATTTTTTCTTTATTGATTTAGTTTCTCCTTTCAGTGTTTAGTCTAAATGTTGCTGACGCTCTTAATGTGCAACATTCAAACCTTTTTGTGTGTATTGATGCTATTAGTGGTGACATTTAGGGTAAAACGTTATAAAGAGATTCTCTGTGTTGGAAACCTCGCTTCAAACTGAGACGCTTACCTTTATTTGGTAACCTACAACATTTATGGCATTTATGGCAGTTTGCTGAGATCCCTTTTTTCATGCACCTTGGGAAATAGTGCAATTCATGCAAAACACATTTTACTGATCAACGTGGTACAGAAATAGCCGGCTAATCTAATGTTCTGCCCTTTTATGTGATGTGTCTTGTTTTTCATCCAGCTGGCACCAATATGAGAGCCACTGGAGGGCTGTGATGAGGCTGCGAGAGCCCCTCGTGGGGCTAAAGCGGGAAGTAATGAGGGCTTAAAAAAGACCGGGCAGAAAACTTGGTCTCATGGTGAAGATGGCGTCAGATGTGAAGCGTCAGAATTCCAAAGGATATCGTGGAAAAAACGTCTAAAATAGTTTGAGCAGCCAAATAATCTGCTTTATCATCAGCCTGATAAACGTGACTGCTGAATGAATTTATATAACACAAAGGTTATGCTAGAAAAATGTATATTTCCTTCAACTAGAATGAACCTCAAAGTCCCACGCAGCAGTGATTAGATATTTATCACTGACAGGCAATCGTGTTTTTGCCCTATGTGTGAGTTCATGTGTCTGTAAGCAAACTGTCTCATTAACCACTGGACAGATGTTGGTGGAACTCTCAGAATCTGATTACCTTGTGTTGTCAACCCAATTCAAGATGGCTGCCACAGCCAATGAACTTTCTCACACCAAAATGTCGATAACTCAGTTCATTTAACAAATACTGAGGTAAATCTTTAAAAAAGCAGAGTGTCATCTCCAACTTGTACTCTGCCATCTTTGTTTAACATTTCAACAAATACTTTTGGAGTTAACTCTGTTTTTCTGTTAGCAAAATATCTCACTGGACAGCGTTTAATGAACTCTTCAGAAAGTGGTTCAGTGGTTAGAACTGTTGCCTCACAGCAAGAAGGTCCTGGGTTCAATTACGGGTTTGGACCTGGGGCCGTTCTGTGTGGATTGTGCATGTTCTCCTCATGTTTGTGTGGGTTTTCTCCGGGTACTCCGGTTTCCCTCCACAGTTTAAAAACATGCATGTTAGGCTGCCTTCAGGCCCAGACCTCTCATGAAAAAGAGATCAATGATCTCAGCAGGTTAAATCAAGGTTAAAAAATAAATTGGATGTATATTAACATCTGGTTACTTTCTAATTTCTGATTATATTGACATACCAGCTTTTTAACTAAATCCAATTTTTCTGATCACACCAATGAGACCACGTCTGATCACAGGATACTTTTTAAAACACTGCAGCTTAAATATTTTAGATTTTTGATTATTTAAGTTTGCAGCAGCATTCAGGATCTACAGCCATGATACAGTCAGTTTGGGATAAAAGCAGGTATGTGGCACCAAAATACTGCATTTTTATTAGACATTGTTAAAACTCATGGAAATCTGAAAATGGACATGAATATCAGTGTCAGCGGTGCAGTCGCTGCTCTACATGTTTTTTCCTACTCGGACACTTTAATTCACAGGACACTTTGGCAAGAAGCTGCACCTGGTGTTAACGTCTTAATGGTATTTTCCGTTGAATAGATGGTCACAGGATTTTATTTTAGGATATTTATTATTTAAAAAAATTTAAAGTAGGCCACTTTATATAGTCGATCAGCCACACCTGGTGCAATCACCAAGATCATTGTGTAACCAGATTAAGTTAAAACGAAACATTTACCTCATCATTTTTTTTAAATAAATGTTATTTTCACACATCTGACCTGTGCAATCCAACCAATAACTGCAAACAGCCGAGTGGCCAGAAATTTTAAAATAAAAATCTATAAACTGCGTTATTGCAAAGGAGCAGCCCCATACATGTGGTGCAAAACAAACTACAGACAGACTAAGACTAATGTATATTTAGTATATATTACCGTTATATATTATTTATATATAATATGTATTATATACATTATGTATTATTATATTTATATTGTTAACTCTGTCTCTATGAGACAGTAAAGCATAAAACAGTTGTCTATCCACCTTACTTATCAGTACTCATGATATTTTATAAAAGAACAGAACTTGCTGCCTGCTGTTTGCACAATGAACAGTCAGTAATCAGACTTTTCTTAATTATACTGCAGATATATTGGAGACACACACTCTTATCCTTTCAGTAAAGGTCCAAGATGATATAACTGAGTGATTTTTTTTGTCTCGTTCATTTCTAAATATATGTTTTTTTCTTCTTTAGAAAAATAAATAATTAAAAAATTAGTTTTGTTTAGAGGGCAATAATAAAACAGAGTTCTTCTTTTGACAGTTTCTCAGTAAAACTTCTAAGAATGGCGTCGTCCTCTGTCACTTGAATTCTGCACAGAATAGGACGTGGATAAGTTCACACTTTTGAGATCTGGAAAAACAGTTGTACGGTTCCGACAACTTAAAACATAGCGGACTTCTTATTGTTGTCCTTGAGCGAGTCTCTGCACGCGTTCGCTTTACATAATTTCTATTTCTCAGTTTCCTAGTTGCTAGGAAGCAGAGTGTGAGTGTCTGAGGGGATATTAATATCTAGTATTTTGTGTGACTGCTGGTCGTCTCTTTCACAAGTCCCAGTCTGCCTGCTGAGCTGTGACATTAATCTGATGAGAATAACAAAGTGCTCTCACTCAAGATATATTTCAATTGAACAAAAAATATATAATTTTTTTCAATGAAGCAGCCTGAAATGAAAATGAGCCTACCTTTTCTGCATGTGTTCTTGTTTATTGTAGATGAATAACTTCTCCCAGACGTCCCAGTTTCTTTCCCTTTAGCCAAACTGTTGCATGTTTTCCCTTGCAGCGTGTCTTCTCTCCTGCTAAGGGTAGAACCACTCTATCCTCCTGAAGCAGGACAGTAAACGATCAGAGAGGATCTTCATCCTTCTGCCTAATTTAAAATAATCTGTTTCTGCTCAGAACTGGAGATTTCAATCTTTCCTGCTGTTAAATACTCCAGAGTTGCTGCTCAGCTGTTATCCAGTGGATCAGAAGTGGAAAAAAAGACTTCAGCGACACTTGGAGTCATAATTTGACCCTGAAAATAGACCAATTTGATGACAGCGCTTCAAAATCAGACACGTATAAAGGCCTGTTGATTCAGTCCAGTAAAAAATGTAATTCTTTCCAGTTTGATCTGGAATAAAGAGGGCAGTCAATCTCTCCTCTTCCAGTGTCTCTCACTTTCTTGGTATATTTGCCATCTGATCTTGCTCTGCTGCATATCCCACTCCGTATCCTACATCCAGTGAACTATTGCTCACCGCTCGGCTCCATTCCTCCCCCTCCCTCCTTCGGTGTCACTGTAGATACTTGGCATTTGGAGGCAACGTGCTCTTCCTCTGTGATGGTCAGCTGGTGGTCGCCCGCGTCGAAAGGACCAACTGGTTCATTCAGGACTGATAAGTCTGCAACACAGAGATTTATCTGAGATTGGCTGGATTCATTTTTCCACAAAAAAATGTTTATTTGTGATATTTCTTTGTTCCAAATGACTTTTATCCTCAACCCTTCTGTATTAAACTCTAAGCACGATAAACCTATAGCTGTTGTCGTTTATTCATTTTTTTTTAAATAAATATTTCTTATATTTTTTAAATCTAGGCTAAATGTTTTAGAGAGAACAGTTTAGGTTCATTTTCATCAGAAAGTAGAAAAGCTCCTGTTGAACAAGCAGGGCGGATGAAAACCTCGTAGGCAGTTTCTTACTGAGCATCACTCTTTTTTTATATTGGTGTGTGTGTGTGTGTGTGTGTGTTTGTGTGTGTGTGTGTGGTCTTCATGGTTCACAAAAAGTAAAAGAAAGGTCTAATCTAGCAACGTTTTGAGCTAAATGCCAATGTATTTAAAGCTTTAAAAATAATTTAAGCCAATGTTTTATTTACAGATGTGTAGTTTTATTTGCAATTGTGTTTTATGCTTTGATGTTTAATTTTAAAAATACACAACCTGTTTTGAATACTGTGTTGTCATCCAGCACCACCTTACAGAAATGCTCTACTTAGCTCTGGACACCTTAAACTGATAGTTTGCGGATCTATGAAAAGGTTATGCACAATGAATATCTTACCTGTTGTAGATAGCTCCTTGATGGACCTCCGTTTAGATGTTTCTGATCAGATTGATGAGCTAATGACAGGTCTGAGTAGGACCAAAGGGATTGTTGCTGTCAGTCAACAACTCCAATCTCAAAAATATTCAGAGGTTTGTGCGATTGTTATCGTTACGTTGTCATTCTGATAGGAATATATGATTACTGCTAGAAGTGCCACAGACTACACCAGACATGCTACAGCTAGTTGCTGCTGCTATTTGTGCTATCAAATAACAAAATTAAATCTAAATACCATGTATTGAACATGCACTCCAAAAAGAAGTTGCTGATTGAATTTAACAATTTTTTTTAATGTAACTTTTATTGGAATTGTAACTTGAAACACCTAAATTTGATAAACTTTCTAGAGTTAATGTAGTTTCTTCTTATTATTTTGTTATAAAGGATACATCTGACACATTTTAATGTAATTAAACACATTAAATTAAACAAATTTTTAATATATGATGTATTTTTGTCATCAGATTTGTCTGACTTTGCACTGTACGAGTTAAAATTAATCTGTTACAAGAAGTCATGTCAAAATATTTATTGATTCATTCAGCAATTAATTTAAAGTTAGGCACCACTATTCTATTTTAAATATTATGTTAAACTGATCTATTTTTTAAGATTTTCTTTCTTCATCCACAGGTTTTAACAAAAATGCTGAAATGCCCATTTTGCACCACTAGGTGGTGATAATACATTTTAAAAATCAAAATAAGGCTAAAGAATGTGATTAGTTGGGAATAGATTCCTGCAAAACAAAATTATATATTTTTATATATATACCACTTCCACTCTGTAATTGATTATAATTAACAAATAATCCAAGTTTGGTGGCAATAGGATCAGGATAAAGTGAGACAAATATCTTTTTTTTTAAACAGCTCATATTTATTTCCAAGGCACCTAGTACCCTAGAATAGGGTCCACCAGAATCTGAATATTTTAAAAACTACACTTTAGAAAGTTATTATTTATTTTTTTATTTTTTTTGAAAAAATAACATAAAATAAAAATGTCACCCCAAACTCCAGGGTTTGTACAGCGGGAGCAGCATAAAATCCTGTTTTAAGAATATATGGAATGGTGTAAATGAGGCTTCACATTTTCTGTCAAATTAAAAACCAGTAATCATATAAAAATAAAATAAAGTCACTTCTCAAAATAAAATGTTTACAACCATAAATGTAACTTTAAAATAAGTTAATTGTGTGAAATGTGTGAAAAAAAATATATTATGTGTGCTTTTATTTTTCTTCATCTGGGGGCAATCAGTAGAATAAATTATTTAACAAGCCAATAAGCTTTACAAATAAATCTGTTTAAGTAAATCAGTCTCAAGCTTTAGTATTTATTTATTTTTTAGTGTGATCTGCAGTTAGCAGTGACGTTTATCTGCTCCAAAAACAGTCTGACCTGACCACAGCCCTTCATGGCCCATCTAGGTCAACGCTGTCAATGAAATCTACTTTTATCTCAGTTTTTAAAAAGCATCATTAATAAAAGAAATAATGACGTGTAGAGAGATCCATCCATCCATCAGTAGTGATTTTAGCCTCTTTTTGGAGGTGTGCAAGCACCCCTAAATTTTAACTTAGCACTGCTGAAAAATAAAGTTAATTTCTTTTTTTTCTTTTTTCCTTGTTGCGGGGGTGCAGTTGTGGATTTGGGTTCTGTTTATTGCATTTATGATTCAATGCAACAAAATAAACAAATTTAAAAGGTAACAGATCATTGTAATACTTGGTTATTTACATAACGACGTTAATTGCTGGATGTCCGGCCCAGATTTATTGGCTTTCAGTAACTGTGGCCCCCTGAGCAATTTAGTTGAATAGCTCTGCTTTAGAGGGTCAAATACAGATTATTCCATTTCCAAAACCTAAACTGAGTCTGGAAAAATATAAAAGATGATAAAGCCCTGCGGTCGACCTCATGAGCAGCTGAATACAACAGTGATAAACAGGAAGTACCACATGTTCATCTGTATGAAGGTAACTGCAGGTGAATCCTACATTTTCTGTCATAATTACATTGTGTGTTTAATGGTTAAATTAAAGGTTAATGCTTAAAGCTAGTTGTGTTTTGTTTTGTGTGTTTTATAAGTAGATATAGCTATGTTGCTATTTCTGGTTGAACAAGTTTATTCTTTGTTTATTATGATCAGTTAATACTAAACTGACTTTGAGCAAAGTGTTTATTATGTTGTGTAATGTAAAGCAGAGCGCTACGTCTGTAGCATCTTAGCTAGCTCTTCTGTTTTACACACTGCTAGCTTAGTGCTACTTCTTGTTGTGCTGAGCTCTAAAATAGTTATCGAATCAAATAAACTGATTCAACTTATGGTGGTCAACAATGTTTAACAACCCATTAAAATACACCAGAATGCAGGAAATGGCATCTACTTTATTCAAAAATTTCTGGGGGAGGACCGCCCTCTGCCGTCCCCGCCCCCCACATAATGAATGCTTCTGACGCCCATGGCCACCACATTCTTCCTTCCTTCCCTGCTTTGTTCCTTTTAAACCTAAGTTTTTGGAGACAAGAAAGTGGACTGGATGGTCCAGTCCTGGTCTGACCCAGGTCACCACAGAGCTTAGCGATGTACTAAGACGTCTTCCTTAAAGTGTCACAGTGTCACCTCTAAATAGAACAATAAATAATATTCAACCTGAGTGAGTTTTACTTCTGCTGAGGCAGAGGAAGGATACTGTGTCAGGTGTTATCAGGTGTGCAGAGTAATTTTTTTTATATTTGAACATGATCACAAAATATTTATGAGGAAAAGAGACAACAGAATTTAAAGACATCACATAAAATACTTGTTTTTATGTTGATAAAAGTACAAAATAAGGTCAGAAAGTGATGCTCCAGAAGCTGTTCACTGTAAGTGTGATGAAATCAGGACTGTAAATGGGTTACGGGCCCAGTCAGGGGGTGGCAGAACAGATGGGGGGACGTAAAGTGTGCATTCTGGACTGTGCGGACCCGGTTCTTCCCTCAGGGAGTTATTTAAAGGCCTCCTCACTGCAACAGGGCGAAGTGGGCCAGCTTCAGTTGCACGAGAGGTGACATAAGATGCAATGTTCGGTCACCTCTCAGATGACCAGAACATTACTGATTTATTTTGATGTCCTGTCGTCTGAAGTTTTATCCAAGTTAGAAAACAGCTTCTTCCCTCAAACCTCAATCAGACATGAAAGTTTTATTGAGGACTGTCTAGAAAGGCAGCAACCTATTATTATCCACATGACAAGGGTTTCTTAACTTTATATCTTACTCTTCCATCAACTTTAATGCAGCCTGAACTGCAAGTGTCCCCCCACAAGTTTTATATCAAAACAACCAGCTCGGCACAGTGATGCATGCTTTTACTTTAATTGACGTTTCGAGTTACTATGGCGACATAATTTGCAAACAAAGATGCCATTTTTATTAGTCATTTTTCATAGACTCATGCAAATCAAATATCCAAGATGGCCACCTGAGCTAAAAAAGAAAAATACTGTAAATCAGCCATTTGTAGAGATATTAAGCTGACATTTGGTGTGGTAGTAGCTGAGACCAATGCCCAATGAATAAAAAAATAAAAAAGCTACATTTAAATGGCTTTAACGAAGCTATTTTTTAAACATATAAAGCTGAAATTTGGTGTGGGTATAGCTGAAAACCTTCTCCATCACATACTGAATCCAAATCAAAAATCCAAGATAACCACCATAGCTTAAAAGAAGAAAAAAAAAAAGACTTTAACTCAAGATGTTTTGCCATTTTAAGCTAAAATTATGGTGGTAGCTGAGAGTGAACCCCAACACATAACACTGTTAAATCGACATTTAAAAAACAGCCGCCATGTGGCAGACCCCGTCAAAGTTTCTCCAGGAACTTTCTAGTTCAACAATATAATTATCATCAACTGAAT